GTAATCAATTAATACAAAAGGTTTCCATTATAAATAGAGTTTATTTCCTATTAGTTCCATATTATACACACAAACAATATCTACCTTGGTATTTGGGCTCCACAAAGGGACCTGCCTGATCAATTTTAGTGTAATTGTTGGCAGGCCCCACCCATGCACACAGAGCTTCCAATTCAATTTCTAATATCCTACCCTTAAAATAAACATCCAGGCATCATCAGAAGAAAAAAAGAATATGGGGAAAATCAGAAATAATACCAAGAAAAAAAATGAATACCCTCCTCCAAAAGGGGGAGCTATAATTAATGAAAATATACTCTAAACATGACACATAAGTATGCTGCTTAAAAAAAAATGGAAAGAGCTCTTGGTAATTACAAAATTAAAAACAGAAATATGCAACAGAATGTTTAAAGATAACATTGAGAAAATCTCTTAGAAAGAAAAAGATAGGCACAAGCATCTTGGGAAAGAAAGGAAGAGGGTATCTTTTGTATAAAAAAAGAAAGAAAAAGATCAAATTGGCAAGGGCAAGAAAGAGGCAGGGGCAAGGAGAGAAAATATAGAGAAATACATGAATGCAGTCCAACATCCAACATTATAGGTTTCAAAAAGAACAGAGGAAATATAGAAGAAATATATAAATTAAGAAAATGCCCAGAGCTAAAGAATACCAATCCCCTGATTGGGCGGGGCGGGGGGAGGGCAGGAATGATGGCAAAGCATGTAAAAAATGTTGACTTGTCAAATATTAATATTTTTCACAAATAACCAAAAAAATTTTTCCAAAGAAGGACTTTAATTACTAGCAAAGAGCTATAAATAAAAATGATTATTGATTTATCAATACCAACAGTAGAAAACAGTGAACCATTGCTTTTAGGGTCCTGAGAGAAATGCTTTTCATGCTATTATTCTATATCCTGCTATACTATCAAGGCAAGGAGGAACACAAGCCTTCTATGACAGGTAAGGTGGCAAAAACTGAAAAAGAAAATCTGAGATCTACAACAGTGAAATCTAAACCACATCAAAGAGAAAGAAAATTCCCAGGATCGTGGCTAAGGGAAGGGAAGCAAACACCTCAGATAACAGTAAGAGGATGGAAAGCTACGCAATGAAGAAAAATTGTTTTTTTTTTAATTAAATGATATATTATTTGCTTTATGAAAGGACTTCAAAAATTTCATGGAAAAATTCCATTATCTTTTAATTCAATTTTCCCACAAACTTTTCAAAGTCTCCTTGTATTTAACCATAGAAAAGTGTGCAGCAAACAAGCAGATGAAGTTATGGCATAAAGAAAACCAGTACTAAGTATCAAAAATATATATACTCAAAAGCTCACACAAAACATATAATCATTTGTTACCTATTTAGACACAGTGGCTGTAATGATGGGCTCAAACATCATAATTCTGAGGATGGTGCAGGACTGGGCACTGTTTCATTCTGTTGTGGTGCAGAGAGTCACCAAGAGTCTGAGTCAATTTGCCCAACAACAAAACTTAGTTCTTACAATACTGCAAACATTTATTTGAGACAATTGTTATATTTAATATATGCCATTTTTTATAGTTCATCTTTTAAACATATTACTGTAGATTCAATGCTACCTCAGCAACCTTAGCTCAGTGGGGTCCTAAAACTGTAATCTTCACAGGAATAGATTGCTACATCTCTCTCACAGAGAACAGCTGGTAACCTTGAACTGCTGACTTTTTGGTCAGCAGCAAAGTGTTTAATTACTGTGCCATCAGAGCTCCCTATTTATTTTATATGTCACATATTTATTATGTATTTTATAAATTTGCCTGTATGTTTCCACTGTATCAATAGTTTTTTTTAATAAACAAAAAAATCAGATCAAAGAGGATAAAACCTACCTACTATCAGTAAGTTAATTCTGACTCATAGCACTCATTTATAGGGTTTTCATGATTGTCAATTTTTATGAAAGCAAGCATCCTCATTTTATTCCCAAAGAGCCATTGGTGGGTTTCAACCATTAACTTTATGGTTAGCAGTCCAACACTTACCCAAGACCATCAAGCCTTGAGGAGAGAGGACAAATGGTAAATCCTCATTCCAGAAGCAACAACAAAAATTCAAAAGAATGATCTATAATATAAAAAGCATCTTTTTCTAGAATTATGGGGAAAATAGCACTTAAACAAGTAAAAGAACTAAAGTAGTAGCCTCTGGAGATTGAGGTTGGAAAGGGGGAAAAACTAGAAGAGACAACAGGATAGAAAAGGGGAGGGCGAAGGTGGGGATCTGGGTAGAAACAAAGGCTCAAATTTTGTTCCTCGTTTTTCCAAGTCTATGAACAAGAGTCCCTAGTGTAGGGTTTCCTAACAGGCACTTGTCTCAGCAGCCATCAGATCTCATACCAACTTCTTTACTAATAGGACTGGAGACAAGTTACTATCTCCAGAAGACAAGAGATTTGTCAACTTTCTTTGCAGGCTGTTAGCTTGCATTATAAAAGAGATAAATAACCTGTGATGTTTACTGTTCATAGGAAATGTACAAATATCTTGAACCCAGAAGCAGTTTAGGGAATCCTTCGTTTAAGAACGTACGCAACGCTTGTTGGTTGCCAGACTCAAAACTGCCAACAAAAAGTATATTCTGTCCATTATCTAGATTCACCCTTTCTTGGTCCTCTTTACTGGTTTCCTGACCCAATGCCCTACAATACGTAATATCTATTTCATGTATTTCATAAGTAAATTGAGCACATTACATTGTCATGAACCTTGCTTGCCATTTCATTTTACTGGAACAGTTACTACAGATGTGATCAAACAAGAAAAGGAATGTATATTCAGAAAAAAGGCAAATGAAAATGTTCTATTTTACAGATTTATTTCATGTTTATAGCTGTAATTCTAGACACATTATTTATAACTTTAGTAACATGCGTATGTTTTTGTTCTGGACTGAAATATGGGGCAAAAAACAGTAGTCAGACTTCCAGATCTAAAATGATGTCACTGTCCAAACTGACTTCGATCCCATTACAGAGTCAGATTCAAACTAAAAATATGTCAAAAGGTGTCTTATGGCCCAACATTACTCTACAAAGAAGCAACTATCTCAGGCTTAAAAGCTTAGAATAATTTCACATGCATATGTTTATTCTACGAGCAGATACCTAATTCAGTCTATCACTCATTCCCACATAAGCATCAAAGCTTTGGGGGCTCTCTCCAAAACAAAACATCTGCCAGGATCCTCCTCTTGGCTTTCAAGGCTGGCTTATAACCAAGTAAGCCAGACTGCAATAGGGAGGGCCATTCCTAGAGAATTGAACCAATGGCATTCCATGCTACCACCAAAAGTCCACGAGTTTCAGTTCCTCAAGTTTCCGTTTCAGTTCTCCTGAATTTCAGTTCTTCTCTAAGACATGTTTCTAGTCCATTTCAACACTGACTGCTGACGATAAATGCCAGCAAATAAACTGTCCTAAACAATACAAAGCATTATTTTTCAAGCAGAATCATTTTTTTCATAGAACAGAATCCAGTTATTACAATTAAGGGACGCGTCACAAAAATTTAAATCTTTGTTTTCCTTACATTACAAATGAAAGGTTTCTTCAAAAAGTTGAAAATGTTTTGTATAAAACATTAGTCGACGTTAAATGTGGTAAAAGGTGGGGCAAATCTTATGAAAAAAAAATACAACCCAGATATTGGCAGTATCCTATTTTTTCTTAGAGAATGACCAGTTTCTGAATCTGTGCTGAAATATAACCAAATTTATATTCAGCTGGATAAAATATGGAACTTTTTAAAAACCAATGCACTGATTTTTGCAATCGAGAGCAAACTATAAAGACTTTTTTGGGTAAGGTTGACTCAATAGCAAATTATACAGGCTTATTTGTAAATGATCACCCAAGAGCTATGGGGGAAGCAGAGTGGTTTACAAAGCAACTCCTAGTGATAGGATACTTGGTCTCAAAATTTACAGCCTAAAATTTCTTTCCTAAAGTTAACTCTCCTCCAACAAACTGGAGAACACTCAGAGCCACATTAATTCCTTCATCAGGAACCCCCAGAAACTAGAATCTGACCTAAAAACCTACAACTTGGAGGGCTAAACTGTCCATTTTGTCCAAATGTGTTTGACACCTAACCCCATTTATTGTCTCCAAAGTGCAAGAAAGTTCAAATCTTGCATTCTGATTAGCCCTTGCCAACACGACACAGACGATTTGAACGGGCATTCTTTTTATTAAGAATTACAGTCCACACAACTATTAAATAATAATCTAGTCACAACGTTTCAAGTAGCCACTTCTTAAACGACTGACAAACAGCCTGTTACACATGGAAATCTATTGCTAATGAAAAGTCGGCACAATCGTTGGCCTTTGTTTAGTATACAGTAAGTCTTTGGAATGTCCATGTTAAAAGCCTCTAGTACTGAGTTCTACCAAATATTTACCTGGAACACAAACGAATTTATAGGCTCGCCTCACAAAACTGTACATCACACATCTGTTGCCATGTTTCCAATTAGGTTTGAGTTTTGCTTCCTCTTTGTTTCTGTTCAGTCTCGGGGTTGACGCAATCTAAAAAACTTCTACACAATGAACTGAGAGGGATAATATAGGAAAGGGGGCTTGGATCGGGCAGAAGTTAGCAGGCCCCATAAGCCCCTGGTGCTCTTACCTAGAAAGAAGCGAAGAAACGACTTACACAAAGGCTGACCGGGAAAAGGAGGGCATCCAACTACCTGAATGTCATCGCCCGTGAATTTTCCTGTAAAGTGAATAACGGGCGATTTCCGGTCCACCTTAATTAAAACACTTAAAGACAAATAGATGCCCTATCCGATGGTTAGTTCTGCACCACCCTTCGAAAACACCAAGCAAGTGTCCCGAGACAATCTTCCGCTTTGGGTCCCGGCCGGAAAGCGGGGCGGGGCGCGAGAAGGGCAACGCATGCGATCCACAGAGAGTTCCAAAATTCCACCGGCCCGTGGGAAGCCAAGTCTGGGATGCCTGGAACTATGGCGGGAACCTCCCACTCGAATCCACACGCCACAGTTTCGGGAAAGTTGCCCGCGCTCCTCCACCGACCGGGGCCTACCTGACGGATCGCGTGGCTCTCGACACCGCCTGAAAGTCCAGGTGCCTGAGGGCCGGGAGCGGGGCCTACCGGCGCTGCCCGCGCAGCGGCTCCCAGGCCCGAGCGGCGGCAGCGAGGCGCGC